TTCCTGCTTCAGGCAAGAGGTAGAAGAGGAGAAAGGAGTTGTTCTGGTAGATAAATTCTGTCAAATATACATCATGATACAGCGGCCTGTAGTAAGACTTTACAAGTTTTTCCCCTCAAGTTACTCACTGCAGTGTCTTCCAAGCTGGTTAGATGGCAGATAATTTTGCTTAACATATTTGGTTATTTGTTTATTTATTTTAGATGTTCGATGTGACTGAAGGGGCTCTTGGAAGTGTAAGTCCTACACACAATTTTGAACCTCCTCATTATGATGGCATCGAAGCACTTGCTATTATGGGAGACAACCTTTTCAGTGGATCCAGAGATAATGGAATTAAGAAATGGGATCTGGCTCAAAAAGACCTTCTTCAGGTAATGGAAAAAAATCACATGGCTCATGTGACAGTCATGCTGTAGAACTGTTTTCAGGCTGCGTAAATGTTCAGGCTCATGCAATGACTACTCACTTAGATACTGAAGTTTTTAATAGGGAAGGCATAGAGCACTGACTAAGAGAGAAATCAATAATGTACTTGATCTTTACACTAGGAATGCAGTTGCTTTTCTTTTCCGTGTATGTAGCGTTGAGAAATTCTGATGAAGTGGTTAGCCCTCTATTTTTAGTTCTGAGTATGCGGAATTTGGTTTCTTTGTTTCAGAACGAAGGCAGCACTTGCCTCGTCTGTGACTGGAACTATTGGATATCATCCTTGTCATTGACAAGTTGGTAAATTTTGGACTGGGAACTCATTAATGATAAACAATGCTTTAGAACAGACTACGGAGTATTTTTGATATTCTATAACTTACCTCTCTTGGTCCAGTCTTTTTTCTAAAAAGCTTATTCCTTAGATCTCCATTCATCTTGTTATACAATGCATATGTTATGTAATGTGTGACACACACATAATAATCTGTTTGCTCTTACAACATATTTGCTATAAGATTTTATTGGGAAAAAAAAAGGCAGGGGGGAGGGAGGGGTCAAAAAGGACCTCAAATCCAGGGAAACTTCAAAGTTCTCCATGTCAGACAAATTACAATGAACTTCTATTTTTGGCTACTTGCTATAAGTCAGTCTGTTCTTTTAGGTCTAATGAGAGGTTGTTGAGGTAGAGATACAATTAAAGTTGAGACTGTGTGAGAAAAGGAAGGCAGAAAAACAATGCCAGAAGATACTGCTGGTTTTGCAAAGGTTTGGTTAGATACCAATAGTTTAGCTTTTGGAGGGAGGAGGAGCATGTCTTTTATGTGCATTTAATGTGCAGACTGCCAGCAAGGAAATGAATAGTTAAAGTTTTGGGACATGAGAGAATAAAGGACTGGTCACCTTAAGAGGAAAATTTCTATATGGGCATACTTAGTATTCCCTAAATAAACAATCTTTCTTGACCTTCTCTCAAAATTGTCCAATTGGTTGCCAGTTCCTTTTCAGAACACTACTAAGACTTCACAGTTAAAATATGGATTCAGAAATTCAGCTTCTTACAGAAAATCTTTACTTGGCCAGATTGGGACTTCTACCCTCATATGCCTGTCTAGGGAAGTGCGCTAAGCAGCTTGTTAGCCAAAACAGGAGGACTGCAGGAACAGGAAAGATTTTGCATTCTCAGAATTATTTTATTAAAGTTGTAAGAAGAGTCTTCACTCTTGCATTTTAAGGTCATTAAAATATTATGCAATGTGCATTTTTGCCATTGCAGTTAATTTAACATCAGAAAGAATACAGAGGAAGGGGGTGGAGTACATTAACAGTGGACTAGTTGTAGTCCTTTTCTTATTTTCCTTTTGGTATATGTGCATTTCATAATTTCTGTACTTCATGGTCCCCTGTTTGTCGGTTTTAAAAGTAGAACTTAATAAAAATGATCTCACGATTCCTTCTTTTTTGTTTCTATAAAATGTTGTGTGTTTTTCAAGGAGGTGAGACTAAAGCATTTGACAAAATAATACAAATAATTTTTATTCACTGTCTTTTTAGGGAATGAAGAATGATGTTACTTTTGCTAATCATGGGGTAATTCAGGGTGAAAGGACCCACTGGAGACCACACAGTGCAAAGCTGGCCTGCTGATCCAAGCAAGGCCAACTTTAGTTAGGTCTGGTTACTCAAGGCCTTGCCCAGCTGAGTTCTCAAAATCTCCGAGGCGACAGATTGCATAGCTGCTCTGGGTGACCCGTTGCAATCCTTAAACTACTCTTGTATGAATTTCTCCTCCTCCCCCATATCCAGTCAGAATTTCTATTGTTGCAGCTTTCTCTTGGTGTGTACACTTGACTGTTTTAGATGAAGGAGGAAAAAAAACCATCCCCACCCTGAAAACAGAGCTGAGCTGCTTTAAAGTATAAATGCCAACATTTCAACAGAGGTCCTGGTTTGGCATACATGAGTTAAACAAGGTTGGTCCTCTATAACTGATGAAAAGCACTTAACAAACATGCTATTCAAAAGAATCCGGACATTATCTACTTCACTTGGTGCTATACAACCCAAGCCACAAAAACGCTTCTGTAACAAAAATAAGATTTATAAGAACAACCACCCCCTTCCCTGCTCCCTGGTTTCATGAAGTGCTGCAGGACCAGACCACCAGTGCCGTGATAGCAGTATATAATATAGATAAAATGCCAAGATGATTTTAGAAAGCTGAATGTACTCCGTAATATGAGAATGGTAGGAACTGCTTTGGTTTGCTGCCTAACTGAGCTGGAGAAGAGATGCTCTTAGTCCCTTAAAAGACAGCAAACTTGGGCTATTTTCCCCTGTGTTGGTATCAAATGGATGTTGTTCTCAGCTGGTCTGTGCAGCATTTTGCTTTCTGAATCAGCAGTGAAATGCTAGTATCCTTCCTCAATAAAGAATTAATGTATTTTTGTTAAGTGGTACATCACAAAATAAATTTATAATGTACAATGGGACAAGAAGAAAGGAGAAAGGCAAATATAGAAAGTTTTTGTTTCCCAAGTGTATTTTTGAGCAGCATTTTAGATTTTCTTTGTATGTGTTTTATAACTGTTTTACAGACAGACAGAGACCATATGTTCAAATATGCATTCAAATATGCATTTGAACGTATACAGATTTACCATTGTCCTAAATTAATTTCTGTTCTACGTCATGTCAGTTGTGCATATTGGATTTTCTTCTTGTTTTGCAATGCTATTTCACAAAGAGAAAGAAACTCGTGGTATAGAATTAGCCTCGTGGAAGATAGCACGCTCCTTGCTCTAAAGGAGGAGAAACCACAGGGCTGGGATACGTCCAGTGTCATGTAGCAAATCTACTGCAGGACAGGAATCAGGCTTAGAACTTGGGATTTTTCCATTTCTGCGCGCGTTCCTCTAGAAGTTTTTGCAGCCCTGTGAGTCCTGCCTGCCTTCTCTTTTTCAGCAAGTTCCTAATGCTCATAAAGACTGGGTGTGTGCTCTTGGCCTGGTACCTGGTGCTCCGGTTCTGCTCAGTGGCTGCAGAGGAGGCATCCTCAAGCTCTGGAATGTGGACACCTTCGCACCCATTGGGGAGATGAAGGGACACGACAGCCCTATAAATGCAATCTGCACCAACTCCAGCCAGATTTTCACAGCAGCAGAGTGAGTTTTTCTTCTCCATGAATCTTTCTTTTCCATAGCTCCTGCTAGAATTCTGTCCATGCAGATGCATTTAGGAGATCTTCAGTTGTGCAAGTCACTTCATAGTAAGCATGGGAAGACCTGGTCCATGCCCCTAAATGCTAATAATCTACTGCAGTGATCTCCAAAGTGGGGTGCATGCACCCCAGGGGATGTGCAACATGATCCATTGGGGCATGGGAAGAAAATACTAGAACTTCAGTAGTACACGTATATAATTTATAAATTAATAAATACACATGGGGGTTTGCACTCAAAAATTTTTTAGTGGTAGAGATACATGATCAAAAAAGTTTGGACACCACTGATCTACAGGATGGCACGGAGAATTTGGCAATAGCTGAGAACTTTACCAGCTTGTCTCTACAGTCGGGCTATTTACTGCTAGGACTGATTCGTGACCTGTGGGAACTTTTCTGAAAACCCTGGTATGTGGTTCTGTTTTGGTTGGTTGGTTTGATTTTTAAGTGCTGATGTATAGCAGAAGCTTTGCAAGCTATCTTAGTGTCCTTTAAACACCTTGATTTGAATATTTGCTTCCTCAGTAACAGTGAGCAAATTGAGTACCTGAAACCTCAGCGGACTTGACCAAGAAAAATATCTCATTCTGGAGAAAGTGTGGGAGACAGCAGCAGAGCCTGCTTAGTAGCGTAGTCTGAGCACAGGAGCTGTGAAAGCTGTCGCGTTATCTTCTGGTGCCAATCGGAGAACCTTCTGGCCTTCTGAATCGAAAGCAGGTCTTTCTGAATCGAAGTGGGATTTCAAAGTTGCCAAGTTTCCACGTTCGGTGGCAAATTGTTATGTTTAAGCATTAATAGATAGGGGTAGAGTCATCAAGGCTTATGTCTCTCTTTGTAAATTTATTAATAATCTTTAGGCATGCACCTGAAATTTATCCTTTATTACTATAGTGAAAGAAAATCCCAGCCTTTTGGCACTTGTAATGTTGTGGTGAAGGTCTACAGAACTTGGGCTAATCCTGACAATTTATGGCGAAGTGAAGGCTCAAGTCAGAAAACCTCTATGCTGTGATAAAGTCTGTCCTGACTGCTGCCTCCTGGCTTTTTTTGAGGGGCTTATAAGGAATACAAGAGTCAGTGTTTGCTAGCCACGTAACTCAATGTTTATGAGAAATTCATAACTTCTACCTGTCTTGCACAGGATAAATTGCTATTTAACAAGACTAATTCTTTATTTTACTTTTTAATTATGATAACAGAGTTTTGTAACACATTCCATGTGATACTTATACACATTTTAAAATTATGTAAATAGTGATTGTCACCAAAAGTACGGAATTATAGCTTGCCTCTCCTCAGCTTCTGAACACCAGCTCGCTGGTATATGCTTTCCAGCACCTGGCAAAGGGGTTTGGGTTTTTGCGGGGATTTTAGGACTTTGTATTGTCTTGTGGTTCTGTACTTTTTTTTTCACCTTTTCTGAAAGAGAGTAGACTGACACTTCTTGTGCAAACAGGGCGCTTTTTGGGTCCTGTTTGATTTAACCTGTTATAACTTTTCACACTTTTTTAATGGCAGGGACTAGCCTTGTCCTGTTGAGTCTGTCTCTAATTCTGCAGTGGACGGGCTGCTTCTGGTCTGCTGAGCTGCAAATAGTTACATGATGGAAGCGCTTCTCTGATGTCAGCCTATTGCCATTTTTAAAAAATAAGTAATAGCAGAGTAGGATTTTACTTTACTTAGATATCTAATCTTTATACTTGCCTAGATGGGTAAAGGTACTAGCCAGTGCTGTGATAAGGCTAGGGAATCTTAACTGTTGTATGTGTTGGATTGCGAGGTCTCCTGGAGGTGGAATGAGCCTCGCATATGCATTAAGGGAATATTGTTTTGCCAAAAATGCCTTTCTGAGTAAGACATCCGAGCTTTTAAGAAGGCTTCCCTGTCTTCCCCATTTCCACCCCACACCCCCATCTCTCTCCCCAATTTAATTACCCGCCTCTAATACCACTTTGTTTTGGTTTTCAGTGACCGGACTGTGAGGATCTGGAAAGCTCGAAATGTAATAGACGGACAGAGCTCAGATACAGGAGATGCAAGTGAAGATCTTGCCAGTAATTGAAAGGATGGGGATAAATGAATATATTGATGAATTTGAGGTGCACTCGATGCAGTTTGCTGCATGCTTATTAGGTAAACACTGATGACTGGAATGAACTGAAAAATAAGAGTGAACTCTTCTACTTAGACCTGCTGTCCTTAAAATATGTACTGTATTTAAGAAAAAAATAACCTTTTGGTAACATGCTTGTGTCTCAATGGTCACATGTATATGTCTATATATTATGGCTGGATTTGTGTGCATATGTAACACTTGCAGTTAAAATTAACTGGAAATCAGTCTTCTCTAACGACCATCTCAAAATTATAACCTGGAATATATAACAAAAGTGCTCTGCTGTATTTCACTCACAAGTATGATCAGGTGTTTTGCATTTTAGGGTAGCAGGGGAATGATGATGCCCCGATAATAAGCCTTTGATTATGACAGGCATTGTTTCAAGATTCTAAAGGTCACTTATACTGTCGTTAGGAAAGTGGAGTGAATACAAGATGGGAAGAAGCTGTTAATGACACATCTATCCCACATGGCTGTATCCTTCTAACAGTGAATGCCATACGATTTGTGTTAATGTTAGCATATAATCCTTATTGACCAAAGTTGTGCAGCTATGTATACTCTGTGCTCAGGACTAGAACTCAAATGCTCATAAATTGGTACGTTTTCTTAGTGGTTTGCCTATGTTCTGTAATGACTAGGTGTTCTTAATGTCAGAACAGAAATATATCTTAATCTATTTTTCTTATGGATTTGTTTCTATCATCTCACATTTTCTTTTTTAAAGCAAAATGTCTTTCCTTTTTATCTAATTTTATATGCTGCTAAATGTATTTTAAATACACTGTTTTGCAAACCTTGGCAGTTACTTTGAGAACTGAACCACGTGTATTGGAAAAAGCTATGTAAATAGATGGTTGTACAAAGAAAATACCTTATCTTGTGCCTGTATGACTTTTAAAGCTCTTAGAGTGTGGATATTGAGGGAGGTTGTATAATTTACCCAACTGCTCTGAATATTAATTTGTAAATTCTGCAGATTTTAAAAATTTATGTAGATTCACATACAGTGTTTGGATATTGAGGTTTTTTTGGTTGTTGTTTTTTTTTTTTTCCTAGAAAGTATCAGTCTGTAAATTATAGCTTATGCAGGTAACAAATAAATATGTGAATGCGAACTACTTCTCTTTGCTTTTTTCATCGTACTTCCTTATAAAAAAATAACTTCCCTTGCAAAGGCCCTAAATATAGAAATGCACAATTTCACACGATGCAGTAGAATAGCTTGCTGAGTAATATAGCCCATAGGTTGTTCTGGTATCCCACGTCTGTGTTCTCGTTGGCCATTGTTTGTGTTTTGACAGTACTTAGGAATCCTGGTAGGATTCCCTCATACGAAGTACAGTACAGACTTAAAATGAAGCAGATGGCTCCTGTTCCTAAGAGATGACAGTTCTTACCTTATTACATATGGTCTGTCAAACAAAGAAAAGTTCTGATGCCTCTTACTCATCTCAGAGGAATTATTTCCTTCACAGCTCAGCTTGAAAGGAGATGAAAATGCAGACTACTTGCGATTTGAGGCTACCGATTTATTCCAAGTTTTGGCAGAAATGAGTAATAGCATCATAGAATTGTTTAGGTTGGAAAAGACCTTTAAGATCATCAAGTCCAATCGTTGAATAATGATACACGTTGTTAAGAAACAATATATAGGTTAGTTAAAATTAACAGCAGTAATAGCAATTATAGAATAGAATCATAGAATCATTTGGTTGGAAAAGACCTTTAAGATCATTGAGTCCAACCGTACCTGTCTACTACTAAACCATGTCCCTAAGCACCTCGTCTACCCATCTTTTGAATACCTCCATGAATGGAGACTCTGCCACTTCCCTGGGTAGCCCTTTCCAGTGCCTGATAACCCTTTCACTGAAGAAATTTTTCCTAATATCCAATCCAAACCTCCCCTGGGGCAACTTGAGGCAGTTTCCTCTCATCCTATCGCTTGTTGCTTGGGAGAAGAGACCAACACCCACCTTGCTAAATTAGTGTTTATCTGTTGTGGTTTTTGACTACCTAAGGAGTGTCCACACAAAAGGTTTGGGACCGTATCACAACTTTAAGCAAAGCTCCCAGTGGAGAGTGGTTTTACGTGCTCGACTCATGTGAGAGGCTTTGTGTGCCTGCTGGAGGGTCCCCATTCCAGCTGGCCCAGTGGGTAAAAGCCACCCATGATCCCAAGCTACACAAATGTTGCCAACAGCTTGGTGACCCCTGGTTTTGGAGCTGAACACTCATGGCTGTCATCTGGGAAGCCTGGATAGTTGGGGAGGGGGCGGGGGGCTGGGTGGTTTTTGTTTTGTGCGTGTGTGTATGTATGTAAGGTTCATATGAATATTGTGTTTTGCAACTGCAGGACGGAAGTCCTTATACACCCGGGAAAGGATTACCCGCTGTCAGGCTTCGCTGCATCAATGGACCGTACGGTGAGGGGCTGTCCTGGCAGCAGACTGAATTGCAGATGCTTCTCTCTGGTGATGCTTGACAACACAGATGTTTTGTTTTATGAAGCTGTCTCCTGAGAGGCACCAATATAACTCATGTAATGTGTGTATGGAAGGATGGGGTTTTTCCCTCCAGGAAGGCATTGCACCCAAACCACATCTTACCATAGAACACAGCTTTACTCTGAAAGTTCTTGCCATCAAGTAACTGGAAGAAAATTGTCATTTTGTAATGGTCACAGTATCAGTGTCTTGTTTTAATGAAGAATTCTTCAACTGTTTTTTTTTCTCCAAACTTTTCATTTGTACTATAAAACTTATGTGACAAAGATAATATGAAATCAGAAAAAGGTAAGCACTGGACTCCAATTGTCTGAAGATGTTTGTTTAAAAAAAAATGAAGGCAGTCTCTGAAAAATTAATTTTCTGAGAAGTCATGGGGAAATAGTGTTCTCTCTCAAAGTTGGAATTCAGAAGTTGAGCTAAGTTTGTGAACAAATTAATAACAACAGCCCATCTTATCTGCTTAGATACATTCTTAAATACAGGCAAGGTCATGTGTTATAATTAATCACATGTAAGGTACAAATGCTGAGAAAATATTTGCAATGTTTCCTATTGCATATTGGACCAAGCGCTTATCGTGCCCCTGCCTTGAATAAAAGGCTCCATGCTGCCTGCAGCACTCGACGTTCAGCCATGGAGAGGGCCAGGAGCCTGTGCTGCTTGGCTGTTGTGCTAGCAGGTAGGTGCATGGCATTTGTATTCCATTAAAATGTTCAAAAGCAAGATGTAAATGTGATAACAACAGAAGAGCTATTAAGGGTGGTGATCTTTTTACGTGGAAAAGGCATGGCTTTAAGTCCGCCTGGGGTGACTCCATGGGGAAGACAACAGGGCTGGCTTGTTTAGAAATAACCCCCAGTCCAACAACATATTCAGCCCTTGGGCACCGGCACGGAAATGCTGGAGTCAGTGGGGTCCATTCAGCTGCTGAAAGCTGCCCCATGCTTTGCTAGCTTGTTTGCTGTGGTTTTTACCCCAGTATACCAGAGGTTAATTCTGTCCGGAGTCTAAAAAAGGGAGAATACATCTTGTATGTCGCTAGATAAAGGAAGAGGGAACCTATGCAGCAAATGCCTTTGAAATATATGGGCGAACCCAAAATGTAAAGACTGATGCTATTAAATTAAAAGGCCTGTGGTAATATTTGAATTCTTTGCTTTTGCCTTATTGCAGCATTTTCTAACCTAACTTCACAATATTGAATTCAGGGTTTTTAAAAATCAGTGGGGATAATTTTTTTCGTGTATATATTTTAAACTACCTCTCTTCAGTTTCTGTTCCCATGGAAATTATCATGGAAAGCAGCAAGTAGCCACTGCTAAATTCAACTGCTCGTTTGCATGTCATCTTCTATGTACCTTTACAAACATGGGCTATAAGTGCAGTGAAGATGATATGGAGATTTTGAAATAAAAATGTTTTTAGAAAGTAGGGAAGGAAAATCGCATCTTCCCACTTGCTACTATCCCATTTGTGCTGTAATAGAAGTAAATCCAGGAACAGGGGATGAATGAGGTTGCAGCTCTACTCATACCTGCAAGTGCTTGTTTTCAAAATTTGCTGGAAAATTTAAGTTTCACATGGATGGGGAGGAGGGGAAAATTAAAAATTTCTTGGCTCCTGCTGGGGCAAATTTTTCCCTTGGACTAGCTTTTTCATTCACAATATCCTTCTTATGAAGTATTTTGAAGGTATTTTATTATACAAATGAGTTGATAAGTCTTCTGTGAACCAATGCTATGTAAAATGACACCAAGTTAATAATATGCTGGAGCACGTTCAGTCATATTCTTTGATTTCAGCAGTGAAAACACTGAGGCTGTATTTGACTCCTATTACGGAAAAAAAAAACCCAAACTGAATGAAATGTGGTGGGTTTACTCTACCTTGTGCTTCGCCTGCCAAGGTGTTAACGTGAATGTGCAAGGCAGAGCAGTGCAAAGCTGCTGTGTGCAGACGCCATGCATTGACTGCAGGGCTGGTGCTTGGTGCCCCATTTTTTTAGCCTCTGTGGTTGCGCAGGTTTAAGGACCTCGGGATCCAGAGGGCTGCGGGAAACCTCAATAAGCAAGAGTATTTGGTGCAGGGTGGTACAAAGGCACGGCCGGTTATTTCCACGGGACTTGCAATCTGTGTGTCTTTCCCACATCTTCATCAGGGACAGAGTACGAAAAGGCAAGGCCCAGGCTCTTCAGTGTTTCATCAGAGCATTGATGAATCCTCCCCCATTTCTGCTCCAAGAAGAAATAATTAAGGGATTGCAGAGGGATGTTCATATTCCTATTGTGCTTTGGATGAAAAAAGGGATCAGAATTTAGGGGGGGGTGAATGCTGGACAGAAAGCAGCCAGCCTGTGGGGCATGACTGCCCATCCCAGAAAACAAAGGTGGAAGCCAGGCCTGCCCGCCTGGCAGGAGGCGAAGGTTAACGGGGTTTCACCCCGTAATTCCAGCCTCCGGACAGTGATACCAGGCGTGGTGGCAGGGAGGAGCGAGCTCTGCTGCGCATCGCTGGAGCATCAGATGCTCCTGCATCAAAGGAGGGTGAGAGTTTTCACGGAAGACCGGTGTAGACAGCACTCAGCTCCTGCTTTTCTGCATTCCCACCCCCTGCTTGGAAATCAACTCTGGCATTGCAGCATGATGGCATTTGCTGGTGAATCTACGGGTTTATCCTGTAAATTTTCCCAGTATATATAATTATTCCTTGTGCGCATCTTGCTTGTAAAGTTCTTTGTTTGGAGAAGCCCAGACTGCATCAGCAATCACATTTTAAGCTTTCAAGCACAAAACAGTCCACATTAAAAAAAAAAAAAAAAAAAAAATTAGAAAAG